CGCGCAGCGGAGGGGCTGCAGCGGGGGGAATGGCTGCTGCCGTGACACGTTGATGCAGAGGGTGACACGCTTGCGCTGCAGCAGTGCCGCATCGCACACGGCCCGTGCTGGGCCCAGCAGCAGCCCCGCAGCCACGGTGCACAGCAGGACCATGGCTGATGCCGGCACCCAGGCTGCCTGTGCTTCTGTATTTATCACAGACTGACTGTCTGCCCACGTGGTCGTGCTGCTATATTTACCGCACAGTGGCGAGGCCAGCGTGTCCTAGTGTGCCTCCGAGATCCCCAGTGCAGCTCTTCAGGCAGGGTGGCTGTGAGCAGAGCCGCCCTACGGGCCTTGGTAGAGCGCCCTGGAGCCTCCATGCACAAGGGGCCGGGGAGGCCCTACAGGTCTTTGTGTAGCCCCCCCCAGAGCCTCTGAGCCCATGGGGCAGGTGGACCTCATGAGATTAATGTGGCCCCCTGGGGCCTCTGTACGCACGGGGCTGGGGGGGGAGCCCTACGGCCTTGGTGAGGCCCCCCTGGGGCCTCCATGTGCATGGGGCCATGGGGGACCTACGGGCTTTTGTGCGGCCTCCCGGGGCCTCTGTGTGCACTGGGCTGGGGGGGGTGCCCTAAGGGCTTTCGTGCGGCCTCCTGTGCGCACGGGGCTGGGGCGACCCCACAGGCTTTTGTGTGGCCTCCTTGGGCTCTGTGCGCACCAGGCCGGGAGGTCCCTATGGGCTTTTTTGTGTGACCTCCTGGGGCCTCCATACGCACTGGACTGGCGTGGGGGGGCTTAAAGGCCTCCTGAAGCCTCTGTGCACACTGGGCTGAGGAGGCCCTATGGACTTTTGTGCGCCCCCCCCGGGGTCTCCGTGCACTCAGGGCTTGGGGGACCCTATGGGCTTTTGTGTGGCCCTGAGAGGCCTCCATGCACACGGGCCCGAGGGGGCCATGCAGGCTTTCGAGCAGATCCCCTCCCAGGGCCTCTGTGTGCACTGGGCTAAGGGGGCCCTATGAGCTTTCATGTGGCCCCCCTGGGGCCTCCGTGTCCTTGAGGCTGGGGGGCGCCCTATGAGCTTTCACAGAATCACAGAATGGTTAAGGTTTGAAGGGACCTCCAGAGATCATCCAGTCCAACCCCCTGCTCCAGCAGGGACACCCAGAGCACGTGGCACCAGGCAGGTGTGAAGATGTCCAGAGAAGGAGCTTCCACAGCCTCTCTGGGCAGCCTGTGCCAGGGCTCTGGCACCCTCACAGGAAAGTTCTTCCTCATACAGAGATTAAACTTCCTGTGTTTCAATTTACACCGGTTCCCCCTCGTCCTGTCACTGGCCACCATGGAGAAGAGTCTGGCCCCACCCTCCCTAGAGTCTCCCCTCAGGTACTTGAACATGTTGATCAGATCGCCTCTCAGCCTTCTCTTCTCCAGGCTAACCAGGCCCAGCTCGCTTAGTCTTTCCTCATACAATAGATGCTCCAGGCCCTCCATCATCTTTGCCGCTCTACACTGGCCCCTCTCTAGAAGCTCCATGTTCCTCTTTTCCTGGGGAGACCAGAACTGCCTCCAGTACTCCAGGTGCCTCCCCAGAGCTGAACAGAGGGACAGGATCCCCTCCCTCACCCTGCTGTAAACGCTCCTCCTGCTGCACCCAGGATCCCATTGGCCTTGGCCACGACAGCACATTACTACCTCATGGTTAACTTAGTGTCAACCAGGACTCCCAAATCCCTCTCCATTGAGCTGCTTTCCAGCAGGTCAACCCCTAATCTGTGCTGGTGCCTGGGGTTATTCCTCCCCAGGTGCAGGACCCTGCCCTTGTTGAATTTCACGAGGTTCCTCTCTGCCCAACTCTCCAACCTGTCCAGGTCCCTCTGAATGGCAGTGCAGCCCTTGGGAGTGTCGGCCACTCCTCCCAGGTTGGTATCTTCCACAGACTTTCTGAGGGTGCCCTCTGTGCCCTCGTCCAAGTCATTGATGAAGAAGCTGAACAGCACTGGGCCCGGTACTGACTCTTGCGGGACACCACTGGCCACAGGCCTCCAACTAGACTTGTCCCCACTTATCACCACCCTCTGGCCTCTGCCATCCAGCCAGTCCTCAATCCACTTCACTGCCTGCTCATCCAGGCACACATCCTGAGCTTCCCTATGTTATGGGAGACTGTGTCGAAAGCCTTGCTGAAATCAAGGTAGACAATGTCCACGGCTCTCCCATTGTCCTTCCAGCCGGTCACCTCATCGTAGAAGGCTATCACGTTCATCAGACACAACTTTCCCTTGGTGAATCCATGGTGACTGCTCCTGATTACCTTCTTTTCCTTGAGATGGTCTCTAGGATGAGCTGCTCCATCACTTTTCCAGGGATGGAGGTGAGGCTGACTGGCCTGTAGTTTCCCGGCTTCTCCCTCTTGCCCTTTCTGAAGACTGGAGTGACGTTGGTTTCTTTCAGTCCTCCGGCACCCCCTCTGCTCTCCATGACCTCTCAAAGATGATGGAGATCAGCTGAGCAATAACCCCCCGCCAGCTCCCTCAGCACTCCTGGATGCATCCCATCTGGGCCCATAGATTTGCGGGTGTCCAGTTTGCCTGGGTTAGTCCCTAACCCAATCCTCTTCGACCAGCAGAAAGTCCTCCTCTCTCTTGGTTATCTCACTTGTGTCCAGGCTCTGTAGTACATGGGGACTAGCCTTAGCAGTAAAGACAGAAGCAAAGACAGCATTTAGTAACTCTGCCTTCTCTGCACCCTCTGCCACTAGGGCACCCTCCCCATTCAGCAGTGGACTAACATTTTCCCTAGTCTTCCCCTTGCTGCTGGTATATTTATAGAAGCCCCTCCTGTTGCCCCTGACATCTCTCGCTAACTCTAATTCCAAATGGGCCTTGGCCTTCCTCGCCACATCCCTGCATTCTCTTACAATGTTCCTATATTCTTCCTATGTGGCCTGGCCCTTCTTCCACATTACATACGTGCTTTTTTTCTCATTGAGTTTACTCAACAGCTCCTTGCCCATCCACACAGGTCTCCTGGCCCCCTTGCTCGACTTCTTTCTTATAGGAATGCACCGATCCTGAGCTTGGAGAAAGTGGTGCTTGAATATTAGCCAACTCTCCTGGACCCCCTTTCCTTCTAGGACCGTTACCCAGGGGATTCCTCCAAGGAGCTCCCTGAAGAGGTCAAAGTTAGCTTTCTTAAAGTCCAGGGTTGCAATCCTATTTCTTGTCCAGCTTCCTCTTCACAGGATCGTGAATTCCAACATCTCGTGATCACTGCAGCCAAGACTGTCCCCAACCTTCACATTTCCCACTGGACCATCCCTGTTTGTTAGTATCAGGTCTAGCAGCGCCCCTCCCCGCCCCGCCTTGTTGTCTCATCAGCCACCTGCATCAAGAAGTTATCTGCAATGTCCTGCAGGAACCTCCTGGACTGTCTGTTCCCAGCTGTGTGATTATCCCAGCAGATATCAGGATAGTTGAAGTCCCCCATAAGGACCAGGGCCTGGGATCGTGAGGCTTCTTACAGCTGCCTCTAGAAGGCCTCATCCACTTCTTCTCCCCGGTCAGGAGGCCTGTAGTAAACTCCCAAGACAATGTCATCCATGTTGTCTTGCCCTTTAACCCTCACCCACAAGCTCTCAACCCGCACTTCGTCCTCCTCTAAGCTGAGCTCCATACATTCCAGTTGCTCTCTCAATGTAAAGAGCAACTCCGCTACCTCACCTTCCTGGCCTGTCCTTTCAGAAAAACCTAAAGCCATCCATGGGCACGTTGTGAGGACAGTGTCAAAAGCCTTGTTGAAGTCGAGATAACACGATATCCACCGCTCTCCCCTCATCTATCCAGCTAGTTATTCCATCATAGAAGGCTATCAGGCTAGTAAAGCATCATTTCCCCTTAGTGAATCCATTCTGACTACTCTTGAGCACCTTGTTGTCCTCCATGTGCCTGGATACAATAGCCAGTATGAGTGGTTCCATCACTTTTCCATGTGCGGCTCACTGGCCTGTAGTTTCCTGAGTCCTCCTTCTTTGCCATTTTTGAAGACTGGCGTGACATTGGCTTTCCTATGGATAAAGACTTTGAACACCTTTGTGAAGAAATTAGAGAGTCTCATAAGAAAAGAGGTATATACTTCAATCCTAAGGATTTTAAGACTTGCCTCAGTATTTGTAACTAGAAACAGTCAACATCCTCCTGGGCAAACTCTGGAAGTGTGGGATAGATAAGTGGACAGTGAGGTGGATTAGGAATTGGCTGGATGGCAGAGCTCAGAGGGTGTTGATCAGCGGTGCAGAGTCTAGTTGGAGGCCTGTAGCTAGTGGGGTCCCCCAGGGGTCAGTCCTCTGTCCAGTCCTGTTCAATTTATTCATCAACGACCTGGATGAAGGCACAGAGTGCTCCCTCAGCAAGTTTGCTGATGATGTGAAGCTGGGAGGAGTAGCCGATAGCCCAGAAGGCTGCGCTGCCATCCAGAAGGACGGGGACACACTGGACAACTGGGCAGTGAAAAACCTCATGCAATTCAACAAGGCCAAGCGCAAGGTTCTGCACCTGGGGAAGAAAAACCCCAGACACCAGTACAGGCTGGGGACTGACCTTCTGGAGAGCAGCTCTGCGGAGAAAGACCTGGGTGTCATGGTGGATGACAAGTTGACCATGAGGCAGCAGTGTGCCCTCGTGGCCAAGAAGGCCAATGGGATCCTGGGGTGCATTAAGAAGAGCATCTCCAGCAGGTCGAGGGAGGTGATCCTGCCCCTCTAAGAGGACACCTGATCAGTGCCTATAAGTACCTCAAGGGAGGGAGTGAAGAGGATGGTGCTGGCCTCTCTTCAGTGGTGGCCACTGATAGAACTAGAGGAAATGGCCGCAAACTGAAGCACCAAAAGTTCCACATGAACTTAAGGAACAATTTCTTGACAGTGAGGGTGCCAGAGCACTGGAACAGGCTGCCCAGAGAGGTTGTGGAGTCTCCTTCTCTGGAGATTTTCAAAACCCGCTTGGACGCAGTCCTGTGCCACATGCTCTAGGTGACCCTGCGTGTGCAGGGGGGTTGGACTAGATGATCTCTAGAGGTCCCTTCCAACCTTGAGCATTCTATGATTCTATGATTCTATGAACTGTTTTGCTGTCTGTCCTTTATTGCAAGGCTGCAGCTCTTCACAGGATGTGCCA